GCTTTTCTAACTTTATCAAGGATTCATCAACAACAAACCAACTTGAAGAAGATGTTCACTTCAGAGGAATGGACCACAAGTTCGTCGACTTCGTTCCTTCTACGGACGTCGTTCCGAGGTGAGTTCCTACTTCTTCTTTCTTCTTCCTTTCTTCTTCTTCTTCCTTTCTCCTTTGTTCACTGTCGACTTCACCTGTTCTTCCCCCCTGTTCTTCCCTTCGACTTCACCTGTTCTTTTTTGTTCAATTTTTTCAATTAATTGAAGAACACTGTCGAACCTGTGTTAAAATTAATTCAATTATTTTTTAAAATTAATTTTTAATTCGCAAAAATTAATTCGTAAAAATTAATTTTTTAAATTAATTCAATTATTTTAAAATTAATTTTTTTTCAATTAATTCAATTATTTTTTTTCTTATGTGTTAAAATTTCAATTAATTCAATTAATTTCCTGGTTAGAGAGTAACCAAGGAAAACACACTTGAGGGAGCGAGGGTCTAACTTATCACGAAAAGGAGATTGATTATGAACAAAACAGACACAACCAAATATTTTGGGAGGAATAGAAAACAAGGACTGGGAACCTAGGAGGACGTGAAGAGAAGCTTGTTTTTGCAAGACCTAGGTAGGGAGACGATTAATAAGATGGGCAGCGTTGAAAACAGCGTCGCCCCAATAGGGCCGAGGGACACTCATAGAAAAGCATATGCACCGAGCCATGTCAAGAAGATGCCGATTCTTACGTTCCGCCACCCCATTTTGTTGAGGGGTATTGGTGTAAGAGGTCTGATGGATAATGCCATGAGTAGAAAAATATTGTCCTAACCCAGAATCTATGTATTCTCTCCTCATTATCAGAACAAAATATTTTGACAGGGCCGCAAACTAAGTACAAATCATCTTATGAAAATTGTGGAATACAGAGAAATGGAATTGACCAACCATGTCATAACCATGGAGTTTTCAGCGTCCCAACTGTCGAACAGCGGATCATTAACAGCAGGAGCCTTCTTGTCACCAGTGATGTAACCGATCTTTCCTTACCCACGGATATACATCCGGACAGAATGTGACCAGCGGAGAAAATTATCACCATTTAGGCGGATGGTGGTGATTTGGACAGAGTAAGAGTTTGACGTTTTCACCGGAATGGCAGCGGCAGGGGTTGAAGTGGTTTCGGACGTGACTTCCGACATGACTATGACGGTTTTAGGGCTGCTGTGCTTTTTGTAGCTCTGATACCAACTTAGAAAATATGAGGAAGAAGAACTCCGAAAATATGAGGAAGAAGGAATATATTTCTGTTATATTCAAAACTTCTTATTTTACAAGACCAAATGACACTCCTTATATAGGAGATATTACAAACATCATTATAACCCATTATATGCCACTTACATATTATATATTACCACTATCTATCACTATCATATTATATACATGCCACTATCTATCACCAACACCACTATTATATTCTATACATGCCACTATCTACCACCAACACCACTATCATATTCTATACATGCCACTATCTACCACCAACACCACTATCATATGCCACTATCTTATTATATGCATTAACACAAATTTCCAGCAATAACCTACAGACTTCAGCAGTAGCATGCACATGCAACAAAACTAATGAAGGAAGAAACAGGCGTCGAATGAAAATGTAGCCATAGACTCATAACACTGCAGCAGTCCAAACTCAATTCCTTTACTTATCTCAGAACTACAAATGAGCCACAGAAAGTGGAAGGTTCATCATAAAGTGGCAATGCCTGAAAGGTTCAAGGATTTGAACTAAAATCTACTTCAAACAGATTATAAGGATGAATGATGATTAGACACAATATCAACAAACTAAATCTTCGTTTGAGTTTTGTAAGGGCAATTTAGAACAGTTTCTGAATGTTCAATTAACTAAGTTAATTCAAGAATTACTATAGGCTTCCAAATTTCAAAGCATGACTGAGCCCTATTCACAAGAGCAGCTTCTGTCATCCAAAAAAAAAAAAAAAAAGACCCTGATTGAAACTTAAGTCAACATATTGTGCAAAGATGTTCTGAAATAACAAGACACTGATATTTTATCAATATACTACAGCTATTATTGCGATCTTTACCCCTGGAAAGCTCCTTCAATACATATAGAAAGATAACAAACAAAAGAATATCCAGTTGTAATTGGGGATATTTTTGCAATCTGAAGGGATCCAATAAAAAATAATGTAACCTTATCCAAAGATATCTGTCTTCCTGAACAATGTCCTTTATTGAGTGTCAAATAACCTGATTTTTAGAAACAAGAACTGATGTCCCTATATTCTCGAGTAGCATGACTTGCTCTGCAACAGTTCCTGCAGTGACATGTCCAGATAAACTATTTTAATAACAAAACCTACTGAGAAGTGACACTTACAATGAAACTCATGCCTAGCAAAGGGGAAAATACAAACCATGTTCTAAAAAAAGGAAAAATTTGACTGTGCTTTTCTAAGCATTCCACTAACAGGCAGCATTTGTCAGCTCAGCGGAGACAAAAACAAAACTCTTTTGCCAATGTTGTTAGACCAAATGCCCCGTAGCATAGTCTTGTACAACTTTTGAGGATTATCAATCAAGGGTCAACTTGACATGAGGTACATGGAAAAATGTCTCGAGGCACAACCTTTACACTCCAGCAAACCAAGGCTCATAACAAAGGTGTAGGATTCTCATTTAGACGTTCATCTAAACCTTAATACTGTGTTTGGTAGAGGGATTTGGAGAGGGATTTAGAAAAGAAAAGGGGAAAAGTGTGTGAAACTATGTGAAATGTAGGTATATTTTATTCACATTTCGTCTCCCTTTCCCCTTTCCATTTCCAAATCCCTTCCGAAATCCCAACCAAACACAGCGTAAAACTTCTAAAGTCGTCTTTCAACTTTAGTTTATTTGTTCTGAGACAGAGGGCATTATGAGACTTGATTTCATAGAATTCAAAGATCAGTCCAGAATCAGAAACAATTAACTCCGTCAATAGACTAGAACTTATTAAAATGATTGGTGCTCACATTGACACCATATCAAATTCAACTTGCTTCAAAAATAAACTGCAAGAAGTCTAAAATTATAAAAAAAAAACCATCATATCGATTGCCTATTAAATGAATGAAGCTCTTCAACACAAAGCATAGTATCTCAATCTAGTCCACTTATTTGAATTACCCAATACAAATTTTTTTTTTTTTTTTTAAAAGAAAGAAAGGAATAATAAAATTCAATACATCTAAAATCTCTGTTACAACATCTTTGCAACTAACAATGAACTAAACCATCTTTGCATTTTATTACCTAATAAGGCTTTCCCAAGCTCGTTTAACCCTGGAATTGCCCTCAGAATCAGCGTATTCTGGACCAAGAGAATATGAAAAAAAACGAAATCAAATATAAATATAAATGAACAAAGATGTTAAAAACGACAACGATAAGAAGAAAGTTTGAATCAGATGAACAACGACCAATCACCTGTTTGTCAAGAGGATGTCGGAATTCATCGGCATCTAGATTGCGAAAGGCAACAGGAGCAGCAGCTCTGCAAACAGAAACCCTAACTCTTCGATTCTTCTTCTTCATCGGCCCAAATCCAATAGGCGACAAACATATCCTCCTCCTATTCCCAAAATTCAATCCAAAAGAAACAGTCGATTCTCTCGTAGGAAACACAATCGAAGAAGAAAGAGATACACATGCCATCGAAGAAGCGTAAGGTAGCGCCTCAACTCTGCTCTCCGCTTCAACGGTTCTATTGGTGGAATTCACACACTACTGTGTTCTTGTTCTCTTCTCTTGGCTCCATTTGTTTTGTTTGGTTCCGAGAAGAGCTACGTGTCCACAGCCGTACTCAATGGTAACGGTTCGCCGCCGTATCGTTTTCCGTTTGACTTTTGGTGCACACACTGTAATGGGAAAAAAGTCAAAAAAATATTTAGACCATTTCTCGATTTGTGCGTGTCATCCTTACGCAGGGGCCATGCTAATCTTCTCTGTATCGTTCCAATTTTATCGGACGTCTCCGAAGGGGCACCTTTGCCTTCTTAACTTCCTCTAAATAAACTCTTGTAAACAACGTTAAAGCTTCGATGTGGGACGAAGCCCAGCCCTACGAAAACGGCGTCGTCTGAAGCGAACTCGCCCTATTTCTTCAGTACTCGTATTGATTTCTTGGTTTGATTAGTTTTGAGATGTTTTATTTGGGCTTCGTAAACACACACACACGCGCTCTCTCTCTCTCTCTCTCTCTCTCTCTCTTTCTTCGTGCTCACTCACACACATGTATGTATATATGTATATTTGATTGTTTGAATTGAGGATTGTTTTTAGAAATTAGAGACGATCTTCTCTGTAAATACAGATTCTGGCACTAGTTTTTTTTTTTTTTTGGTTGGTTTGTATTGGTTTAATTTGTGTGATTGTTAATGTTAAAAATAGGAGGCATTCGGTGAATCGTCCGCCGACTCCAGACGCGAGGGATGAGCAACAAAAAGATACTACGCTTGAAGAAATTATCAACATTAAGGTCCCTTGTCTTTGATTTTGAGATCTCAACGTTGACAGTTATTGAGATTTTTGTTATCCACTTTCTGATTGTTTCTTTGAGTTCAAATCAAAGCAAATTCTTGGAAAAGGAAAAGCCCTTTTTAAGTCTTTTGATTTTAGGAGTTTGTTACTGTTTTGGCTGACATGTTCTTTGTTTCTCCTTTTGATTAAGAATTGCTTTCAAATAAAGAACCAAGTACTTCTGAAATGCCTGCCCGAACGTGCCTGTGCTTGTTTTCCCTCTTTTACGTTTCTTGGCAATTTAGAAGGGATTATTTAAAATGCAGATAAATGAATAAAATTGGATTTCATATAGTTTGGTGTGAGGACACTGGTTGATTTGTTATTTGGAGTTATGTCAATGTATTGTTTAGTTTTTGGCTGTTTAATGAACTGGTGGGTTGCCTTAACAGTTGAGTGAGAGTGGAGAAAAAGAACGATTGATGGAGCTTCTGAGGGAAAGGCTCATGGAGTGTGGGTGGAAGGATGAAATGAAAGCTCTTTGCAGGTTTTTTCACTTTTTCTTTACACAATTTTTGTAGTTTTTGGTGAGTGTTTGTATATGTTTGTTTCTCATACATTTTTTGACTTTTGACAATGTATTGGATCTTCAAATGGTGTGTTTCTGTGGCCTTGTTTATTGACACATATGAAGTGGTACTGTTAGTCTTTAACTGTTCCTCACTTTTCTATACATGGAGAGTAGAGGAACCAAGCGGGAACCAGGAGGATTAACCAACTCCAGAGTAGGTGCCTGTCGTCTCAAACAAGTAATACATTAAGGTAGAATCTAATGCGTGGAGAGTGTCTGCGAATTGCATTCTTCAAGTTCATCTGGAAGGAGCATAATAAAAGAATTTCCAAGAATATTCATCACCCCATTTTTCAGTTGAAGATTGGTGTGGCTAAGACATATATTCTTGGAAATTGCGGATTGAGAAATTGAGTGTTGTTTCATTTGAGGCATTCTCGGAATCTGTTAATACTTCATCATGTTGGTTGACATTGTCTTTTCATTTTGATCTTCAACATTTTATAAACTAGAGAATTTTGTCTTATTATGACTCTTTTCTCATTCTACCGGTCTTTTTGAACTTGTGCACGTGTTCTTGCGCATGTAAATGTGTATGCACAAGAACATGTTCATGCTGCATGCCAAATTAATGCCCTTTTTAGGCATCACTTGTGTGCTACTACTCTTTTGAAAAAAATATTGAATTTATTATAACTTGGATCAATTTATTTGTGGTTGCAACCTTATATCTCTGAATAATATTATGCATTTCGTGGCTTTATAACATTTGAAAATCTATCTCAAACCTGTCTCAAACTCTTTGTTGTCCTAGGGCATTTATAAAAAAGAAAGGCGGTGACAATGTTACTGTGGATGATCTTGTACATGTGATTACCCCCAAAGGCAGAGGTAAGAGTTTCTTTCTTTCTTTTTCTTGCCTGCGGTTAATTCTCCGAGTTCTGGAATTATGGATTTCTTTCTCCTTTTTTCTAAATATAACTACAGATTTATTTTTCTTTTATTTTCCCTGTATTTATAATACAGTCTTTTGGAGCACCTCTTTCTTTTTGGGTGGAGTTGCAAATATTGTGTTTTATTAAACCCCAACAAAAGCACGGTATCACTGGGATTCCCTTACAGTAAAATTAACAGACAGCATGCACAACACTAGTCGTGGCAAAATTTGAATTTGCATGTTTGCTGTGCAGTGGTTGTGGTGGTGTTTATGCAGTCCTCATATGATGGGGAGCTGCTAGTGCACTGAGTTGGCTTTGCTGGTGTGCACTCCAATGGAGTGACTTTGATAATCACTCCAACTTTCATCTGAAAAAGCGTGATATTAGGGCTTTTTAAGATCTAGAAGGATAACATAACACTGTTATAACGCACAATCTTAACATCATATGGTGTTTGCCTTGATTCTCTCAAATTCCACATCTAGTCATTTAACAATTGCCTGAAAACCAGTAATCATGACTAGCGCCAAATCAAACACATCCTCAGTAATATAGTTGGGTTTTTCACACCAAATATTTGTACAGCCAAACTTCTCTTTGGCTTTTGAGCCTGGCAAAGTAGAACCTATAGGGGAAAGAGGTAGGAGAAGACTTGTACCTGCCAAGTTTTAGAAATATGGCTTCGTATGTTTGACGTAACTTTCAATCTAGAGAGAGTAGAGATAAGCTGGAGTTTATTGTATCTAAGCACAGAACAAACACACGAGTGGAGAGGATTATGACTGTTCTCTATAAGAATTATGTTCCATACCATTCTTGTCCAAGTTATTGTCCCAATTTAGCCATGGAGAAAGGAGTAATTTTAATCCTGACTTTCTTGGGATTGAATGTGCATGGCTGGAATGAGTGATTGGTAAATGAACAGGCACAATCATAACAACCTTATTCTTTTACTAAGAAATTTCTGTAAAAAGTAGTCATTTTTTCTTTTTTATTATTATTTTTCCTGTAATACCTCAAAGATCTGCCAGATGTTGGCAGGTGTAGTTTCATTCTTCTCTAGATCATACTTGTAGCCGTCAGATCTACTTTCTTGATTTTATGTACTTGTTGGCAAGAAAATAAACATAAAGTTCTCTACGAAGCTGAGATTGTCGAGAAATAAACAATTCAGTTGCTTAGACATTGGTCTACACCTGGCTTATTAGTTTTATAATTCCATGGGTTGTAGATGAATGCATTTATTCATCTTTTTGGTGGATGGACTCTTTATTTTAATTCTCTCATTTGCCCTTTGATTTATGTTTTTGGTATTCAATTCAACCTATCTTGCTAGTTTATGAGTTGCTATTTTTACCATACATGCAGCTTCAATACCTGATCCCATAAAGGCCGAGCTGTTGCAAAGAATTCGAACCTTCCTGGTTTCAGCTGCTCATTGATATACCAGCCATGTATGGTATGGCTCATCTGGTTAAGGTTTTAGGAAGTCATAATCTTCTTGTTGATTAAAATCTATTGGAAGATTTGTCGGGCATGCTTTTTGATTGATTTAACCTCCAAGAAAGTCCATTTAAGAAAGTTTAAGAAAGTCCATCAAACTGTGATAGCTACTTTAGAGTCTGAACAATTATGCTTGTAATTTTGTAAACCATACTAAAATCTCAAGTGACACTGTCAATTTAGTTATTTAACTTTGACTTTTAGTAATCAGGTAAGTTCCAATACGAATGAAGATTACAATCCTTTTACTTCTAAATTCTTCATAATATTTATCAGTTTCTTGTAGTTGTTCTTGTTGTTTGGATTGTTTATTTCTGCGCTTATGATGTTTAACTGGAGCATGCTTGCTAGAGAAACCATAGAGAGAAGTGAAGTAATTGAATTCATTAATGATACATACTCAAGCTTTTTTTAGTGAGTTTTCATTTTTATGTTCCATTTGTTTCAATGGAAATCATTTTCCAAAGTTCCATTTTCTCATATTTGGTTGAAACTTTAAAACTTTAAAACTAATATATTAGTGAGTATATTAATGATGGTTGAAAAACTTTTAAACTAATATATTACTGATTATATTAATGATGGTAGAGGTAGGATGGTGATTGACATTGGTAGACACTTACTTTTAGTTAATCGTGAGAAACGTTTTTTTTTGTTAATTTTTATTGTCTTGTCAAATGCTAAAATGTTTTTTTTGTTAATTTTTATTTTGTCTTGTCAAATGCTAAAATATACTTTAGCTGAAACGAAGTCTAGTGTGAGTTTTCTTCTTGGTTTCGGTTTTTTGAGACGCTTCTTCACCGGATCTCAGTCCAAATCTCGGTGCAGGGTGTTGTGTTTGCAACCATTTAACTGCAAAGCATCAGCAAGGGCCAGACTTCACCGAACCAACTATATGCTGACAGGAGATCGTGAATAAAATCCCCACTCCTATTCCTTGCCTTGATCTATGACAACCCTGTTCCACATTCACTTCCATAATTGAAAATCCTCTAGTTATTGTTCGTCATTTCACTATTGTATATACCTGTTGTACATTCAATCGAACTCAATGAATGTAACCTTCAGGTGATAAATTAGATGCGACTGACATGAGAAGCCTGAGAAAAACCAACCTCTCTGAGCATTTGTTTGAATGCTCAAATAATATGCATCTCTAGAAGAACTAGAGGATTTTAGCAACAAACTCTCGGCATGTTTCAATCAAGTAAATCAGACCATAAGGAACAACACAAAACACAAAGAGCACTGGCATGAAACACAATATAAATTGCAGAGAGTAGGAATATAACAAGGTCGTTGTCATCTTTTGGGGACTAAACCATATTACACAGCCATTGGCCATTCAGTCTCTTCCAATCCGGCAAGTCTTGTCCATAAGATTACTATGCTACAAAATATTATGCAACTACTCTTGAAATATCTTCACAAGGCACAATTACACTTATTTGGCTGGCTTACACTTCAGAAAATTCCAACACCAGACTTTACCTTCCAAGCTTACGCTCTACGGAAAAACTGTCAAACAAATGGTTGACACACCACAAAACCTACCACAACCACATATCTTGCTTGCATAGGATAGTTGATTATGTTAGCAACAGGATCTTAAACACCTGCTTGTTCGCAGAGATCTAACAAGTCCAGGGTCTGCAGTACCAAGCAGAAACAATAATCATCAGTTTCAACATTAATGGGAAGACAGATACGTTATACACATAGCCCTGAGTAGAACTCAATGGGAAGATTTTCATCATACCTCCGGAATTGAGAGCTCAAGTCGAAACTTGGGGCCATCATAGTGGTGCAAGACTGGCCTAAAGGCATCTTCCTCCAAGGCCTTGCAGAGTTTCCTAACACGGATTCTCACCTAATTAAGAAAGAAAACAAAATAGTCAGTTGCAAGCCTGCAAAAAACTTATAGAATCAATATGTTCAAATTCATGCATCAGATCTAACCTGAGCAGGGAACCGTGATTCTCCTTTACATTTCTTGTCTTCCCAAGCAGTAGGGTCAATGTTAGAACCCCCAAAACTCACCGCCTGAAAACAATTTTGAGAAAAATACAAGTGTCATTAAAACTGCTAAACCAGTGTATTGGAATTCGATCAAGAGTTGTTTGTCCATCAAAACTAAAAAGAAAGTGAAAATAACTACACTGTAATCTGACTCATACTACAACTGTCCCAAGTGTTGCAGAATGTATCAACAGAGGATTCAACAAAGAGTTGGCGGCAAACCTCAAAAATACCATGCAACTGATGAGTAGTATAGTTATAGAGAAATAAAGGTAAGCCTGGTGTTATTGCCCGGACAGAGTCTCTATATCTCGGAGGCAAACCTGCAAAATAAGTATTGGTTCTATCTCCAAGTCAACTTCTTGCTCCAGTTAAATCAAGGCTAGGATATAAATAAATAAATCAAAATTAAAAAAAGATATACCAAATAGTTGTCGCTTCAGATCTTCCTGCATTGTGTCATTGTTGCAAACAAAAATGTAGCCACCAAGCGCCTCATTCCTTGGGAGTGTCTCAGCTGCAGGCAAGGTTTTGAATCTTTTTTCAATTGCACTTGTGTTGTTATTATCATTGTTGTTGTTGTTGTTGCTGCTGCTGTTGGGCTCTTTGTTCTGATTGTTGACACCGTACTTGCTTCCAGTCATGTTCATGACAGAGTTGCCATTGCTCTTCTGATATAGTGCATTCATATTGTACATACCATTCCTAAAGGAACTTTTGTTCACATTTTCTGTCATTTTGGGGTCCAAATTTAACATGTTGAAGTTAAGACTTTCGAATTTGTTATCTTCCTGAAAGCCCATATTTTCCCTCGGCCTTATTTCAGCAGGGCCCTTTGAGAGATCAAGGTTAATCCTTCGCTCACCCTTTGTCTGTTCAGCTAGCTTAGAAGCAACCATTGACCACTTGTGATCCTCTGAGACTTTTGATTGTCCTCGAAGCTCATCACCCAATTGCCAAAAGCTGCGCATGCTCTCCATACTGACAAAACCTGATTAACAATCAAAATAAATCCATGTGAGAAGAAGTTTAAAGGGACAAGATAAAAGTATTTAACTAGAACAAGATCACCAAAAACAACCACAACAACGAATAAGCCGTATTATAAATGTACTGAACTTAGTGCAAAATGCAACAAAACCACATCCACAAGAGCATGGCAGGTTGAAATGGATGAAGATCTAATTGTACATTTGAAAAGTACTAGCAAAAAGAAAAGTTTCATGACACAGTTTTTTTTCTAAAATATAAGCAATTAAAACCAAAGATGCCAGTGTTCAACCACCAGAAATCTAAGGGCAAGATAAATCAAGCCAAAATCTGAACAAAACATCTACAGATTATGGTAACTCCCATCTTACCCATTGGCTGATATCACATGACATAATTATTGCATGATGACTCATAACGGTAAAAAAAAATCATTTTAAAATGCAAAGCTAACCATCCTCGGCACAAAATATCACATCAAACATATTTACTAAAACCAAATTTATAGTTACAGAAAAGCCATCACAATAACAATCCCACACAGTAGACACGTTGTCAAAATGCAAACAAAACACAAGTTTTGATTGGTTTAAAACAATATAGTCTTACAATTTTAGGTGGGATAAATAAACTATCTAGATGTCAGGCTCACATTTTTTGACTAATTAAAAAAAAATTTTCCACACATTTCCAAAGTTTGAACAAATTCATTTTCCACAAAGTGCCAAAGAAGCAGATGGGAAAAACGAAGCAAATCATAAATAAACATGCAATCACCTATTACACCCACCAAAAATAATAAACATACAAGTCTCCATGTGTTTTAGCAGAAAAACAGAAGGAAGAAAAAAAAAAAAAAACAATTAATTAATGTGAAAAATAAATTGAAACTGGTTGAATGGACATGTTCGAAGTTCTTGTAGTTTCTTTTAGGCATGGCAAAATTCTTTCTGAATCAAATCAAGAAGTCCAAACTTTACCCAGCTCTGGGATCAAACATTGACTTGAATGGGAAACTTCAAGAAAGAGGGGGAAAAAATTATGTAACATTTTTCAGGAACAATTTTTTGCTAGAATATCATAAACGGAAATCGAAGTAATATTTTCGTCTGCACAAAGGATCAACTATCGCTTAAAAAATGGGACTTTAAACATGCCTTTTCCGACATAACAAAAACAAAACAAACCCAAAAAAAAAAAACATAATTTTTTGCAGGAATTCCTTCAACACAGGGCACAAAGAAGGGAAAAATCAAAGTCAACGTGACATAGAATAATAGTATCAAACAATCCCCAAATTTCAATGTTTTCAAAACAGATGAACATTGCTCCGAATCCAGACCCACTGTAAGCTACTCCACTCGATAAACATGCAATACAAACACTATTTGAGCTAATGTCACTGAAATCAAAGATCAAGACACCAAATTGAAGAATTTGTGTGACATGCCAAAATCAAATTCAGCAGAAATACAACAATTACAAACACCAACTCACAATATTACAGAGAGAGAGTCGGTATTTAGCCGTAGATAAATGAAAATTTCTCAAGATTTTGGACTTATTGACTCTATCAGTTAAAAAAAGAAACCCTAGATTTGGGGATCCAAAGCTAGAGAGAGAAAACGCACCTCTATCTCTCCTCTGCTGCTGCTAGAAACTCGCGATAGTGAGTGGAGAGGGGAAAGGAGATTTTTTCGGAGTTTATATAGATCTGGTTTAGTGAATTGCCCACGGGGTTTAGGAGTATTGCAAAACTGCCATTTGTTTTTTGAAATTGTAATAAACAGTGATTAACTGGTGATAATTAGATATGACTTGCACGCCCATACTGAGCGCGTGATGGAACCTAGTTCTAAAGAAATTTGAGTTTTGTGTGAGGAGCGTGTTGTCAAACTCTTAGATGCGAATGGGAGATTGATTAAAGTTGTGTGTCGTGCTGCCCACTTGAAACAAGTGATCTTATTTAGTGCTGTCGGTAAAATAATTGTGTACCGTTGCGTTGGGATGGGGTCTTTTAAAATGGAGAGGTATAGGTATGATTTTGATTTTGATTTTGATTTTGATTTTGATTTTAATTTTTTTTTTGATGGTGATATTATATGTATTAAGTAAATATTAACTAATATTATTATTAATTTTATTATTCATAAATTATGAATATTAAAAAAATTAAATTATGTCATATTATTAATTGATATATTAGTTAATATATTAATTGATGTATATGGTATTACGGTTGTGTTACATGCACTAATTAATATACACATTATTGTACTAATTAGTGTTAAAATATCATTAATGACTCTATTTATTAGTACACTAGGGTGCATACTAATTAGTGCATATAGTATTATTCATAGTATTATTCTTATTTTAAAAAATTAATAAATATATGTGACAAATGATATTAATATACAATAGTGAAAATAAAACAATTGCATGGGAATTGAAAATTTTGAAAATAGACTGATAATCCCAATCATGTTGCGCGGATGGAATTAAGGGGCAATTGAGAGGGTAATTTTTGGGAAAAATTGGGCCGAGCTGCGAGTTGGGCTTTGAGGCCCAAAACGCGTAGGACTGAGTAAAAAAGGCCGTAAAGGATACTCCGGCCCAGGAGAGCAAGATTACTCCGGCAAAGTTACTCCTGCCCAAGGAGTGTGATTACTCCGGCTCAAGAAGAGATAGTTGCGTCGGCCCAAGGAAGAATAAAGCTACTCCGGTCCGGAGTCAACTCGGAGTTAGGCCGGTCTCAGAGTTAGTCCGGTCACAGTATGTTTTGGGAAGGCCGGTTTCGGAATTAGTCCGGTCGTGACTTACGATGGTTAGGTCGGTCAGAACTTGTTACTTGGAAGATTGATCTAAGCACATCAAGGTTGAACAGGGCAGCCGAAGTAAGGAGTTAGAGGAGAAGACCGAGCTAAGGATTGTTCGGCCCTTTGTGGCTCGGTATAGCCAATTTTACTTCGGTCAAATGGAAGTTCGGCCATAAAGAAAACCATCCCACTTGGTTTAAGCAGTGGGGGAGGGTGTAAAAGGATAAGCATTATCCTTAGGAGAATGAATCCTAGGAGGACTCTGCATGGAGAATTATGTCATATTATTAATTGATATATTAGTTAATACATTAATTAATGTATATGGTATTACGGTTGTGTTACATGCACTAATTAATATACATATTATTATACTAATTAGTGTTAAAATATCATTAATGACTCTATTTATTATACAAATTATAAATATCTAAAACTTCTAAAATTATATCACATCATCTATTAGTACACTAGTGTACATACTAATTAGTGCATATAGTATTATTCTTATTTTAAAAAATTAATAAATATATGTGATGAGAGGGTAATTTTTGGGAAAAATTGGGCCGGGACTTGGTCAACAGGATTATACGAGGAGAATTATTTCCTCCCCGTACATGTGACAAATGATATTAATATACAATAGTGAAAATAAAACAATTGCATGGGAATTGAAAATTTTGAAAATAAAGTAATTTTTTTAATTTGCATTAGCGCAAATTGCATTTGAATAGGAAGAAGTATAAAAAACAAATTGAATATGAAATCAGAAGCATGAAATTTGAATATTACAAATGCTACTAATGTTTTTGAAATATTTTTTAATATTAAAATTATGATTAAAAATGTTTTGAAAATAGATTAAAAGAATTCTGAAATTCATAAAATAAAATGCTTTAAAATTAACATCTATAAAAATATCTCCATTTTTTGTTTTTTTTTTTTGTGATTCGAAAACACTTGGTAACAAAACGTTCCAATATTTGGTGAACCCCATGCCAAGTGTGAATTATTAAACTTGTTTTTTTTATAGGCAAAAGTTGAACTTTATAGCAGCATTTTTTTTTTAATTATTATTATGTATTATGACTCATGTGTATTGTGAATGCTAAAAATTATTTTTATTTTTTTTATAAATAATTAAAAAGGAATTGATGAAACAATTTGATAATATAACCAGGTAATATATAACATTCATCTAATTTTAATTCAAAAACTTACACTTAAATGAATTAATGCAGTGTTCATCCAACGAAAAAATGAATTATAGCAGCACCAAAATAATTGAATTAAAGCATATCGTCTACATATATGTAGTAAAAAACAATTATATAAGTAATATATATTCTTATTGATATATTTATTTATAGCCGTGCTACATAGCCCGAATGGACTGGGGCTCGACTGCCCCAAATTTTCAAACAACATCGTTTGAATTTTTTATTTTTTTCCCCCTTTTCTTCTTCCTTCTCTCTCTTCTTCCTTCTCCTTCTCTGCTCTGTCGCTTTGGAAATTCAAACCCACAGCAAACTCAACAACTCACACACAGATCAAAAAAAAATCTGTGTATACATCACAACAATCCTTAACAAGCAATCTTTTAATGGAGGGATTAAAAAAAAACTCAAAAAAAAAATCACAACAAACAAATCCACAGCAACAATCTCAACAACTCACACACAGATCAAAAAAAAATTTGTGTATACACCACAACAATCCTTAACAAACAATCCTTTAATAAAGGGATTCAAAAAAAAAACCAAAAAAAAAATCACAACAAACAAACCTACAGCAACAATCTCAACAACTCACAAAAAAAAAAAAAAAAAATCAAAAATCAAACTCACAGCAACAGACAAACCCAAACGAAAATCTAAATCAAAATCAAAATCTAAATCAAAAATCAAACCCAAACAAATCCAAACGAAAATCCCTCTTCTGTCTCCTTTCTCCTTCCTTTCTCTCTTCTCTCTTCTATTTTCTCTTTTCTCTTCTCCCTATTTAAGGAGAGGAAAATCAAAAAAAAATGAAAACGACGTCATTTTCAATTTTGGGCCAATCGAGCCTTCGACTTTTTGAGCTCTCAAAATTTATTGATTTATTTATTTAAATTAAGATACGAGTTTCTCGAGTTTAGTTGCCAGGTGAAGCTTGAGACGTTGGTACTATGGTGTCCCATTATGTGGATGAGTATCCTTTTGAAATAAAATAAATTGATCTGGCTAACTCTGCCATTTCTTGAACATTATTGGGATAATTTTGTAATATTGGTATTGCATTGCTAATTATAGATTAAAATTTACAAAAAGATAAAATAAATTAAAATAGTTGATAAGATAAAATGTCATATTAAACACATAAACATTTCACTTTTTCTCTCACAAATATCACATCTAACTAAAAAAAATTCAATCTTCTTTTCAAATATAAAAATTTTAATCTATTAAAATAGTCAAAAATTAAAATTATTTCTTAAAAATAACAATTTTTTAAACGCCCACATTATAAATTAGTTGGCAATTATCATTCTCATACGCTAATAGGCCTATATCCGATGCTCCACGCTCTATAATTCCAATGGTCCTACTTGTATTGAACAACAAAACAAATAAATAAACTTAAAACTGTCTGTGTACTTTGATGAAGGCCGAAACTTTTGAAATATTATCACTTACAATCACGATACTATGATTGGCGAGACAGGTTGTGTACGGTGACACATGAGAGGGTGTGGTGCGCCATTGAGACCTCATATCAATACATTAAACCTTGGCATTGAAATTGACCTAATACACATGATTGATTACCAAAACAAGGAGAATATAAATGAAGATGGAAGAGAAGAGGATCTGGTATTTTATATTTTGAAATTTGGATTGAAGTGAAAAAGCGTTTTGAAATTTAATAAAAAGATTAAAATAATTAAAATTAATAAAATGAATTGTTATCCCCACTTTATTTTATTATAAATACATTTATTTCTCTATTTTTATTATACAGAGTTATTATTTTTACTTCACTTTGTTCTAAATATACCCTCTTCTTTGTATAATACGGATAAATACAGGTGTATATTTAGAGTAAAATAGAGTAAGAATAGCGGCTCTTTTAATAAAAAAGTGTGCTAAAATTAGTAAAAAAAAATATCTTTTATATATATATATTAGTTGAGGTGCACATAAATTAGTTCGGACACCTATTTATCAAAAAAATATATTATTTTTATTTTTTTCATGTGTTTCAAAATTACTACTTAACAATAATACTCTAATAAATAATGTTTAATGCATATATACTCAAAGTGTAGTATACATTGCTTTAACAATAATGTTAGTGTTACGACCTAAACTCACCCCTATAGGTTTAGTATCGTAACAGGCCAGTAATCCTTAGACTACCAAAGGCCTCTGAATAGATTAACAAGATTAAGGAGCTAGCGGAAGCAGATACATAAATGTAGTTGTCCAATAAGTTGTGCTGACTTACATGAAACAGAATATTTAAAACTTTATATACATATGCAATAGTCATTCATACATTATATCCACACACATTATAGTATCTTAAGTCCAGCCAACAGAATTAAATCAAGTTATACATATACACAGAACCAATAGATCTTGAACACAGGACACTTCGAGAATCTCTACGTGAGGCACAATGGTTGGCTGACAACAGAACACAAATCCAAACAAAAGCCTTCAGGCTCGAACTCCAGAATACTTACCTATACATATATATATATATATATATATAAACAGTGAGGTAAAACCCAGTGAATAGTATTAAAGTAAAGAGGTTAGTGAACGAAATCCAAACATGTC